GGTTGAAAACGTTCATATCCTGATTGTTTGCTGTATCTTTTGTCTTTCATACGCCCCACTATTCACTGAATTCAAGGTCGATCAAATTCACATTTCTTTTCAATAGCACATGAAGATAAATTATCGCAAAGCAATGAATTGCATGTTGTTTTCTCTTTGCCAAATAGTCCGTGTTGCCTATTGAAAGGTGAACCCCGTTACGCAAATTTGTATTCAGTGACACTCGCATCAATTTTCTTTGCTCATTATCAGTAACAGATCGAAAATCCCAGACTATCCAGTACCGCTTTTATGCTAGTCATTTGTCTTTCATCCACCCCATCTCCGCGCTTGTCATTCCGCATTGCATCTCCCCCCCCCCTCACCTTGGACTGGTGACGTTCGCGTCAGAATTCTGGACGGATTGCCACCGTCACACAAACAGTTAGCCATTCTCGTGTTCGGCATACTTCACCAAATGGTCTTTCATGCGGCCTCAACAGCCGAGCGCCTGACCGGGCTGACCTCATCGACCAATCCATCTGATTCCGATCCGGATCAAGGACCGCGTGTCCCGTTGCTAACCATCGCGGAGGGAGTGGTCAAATCGGTAGCCGGTACACTGTTTCACACGTGTTCCGCCTCGGTTCTGTCCGTGGAACAAACAGCACAGGTAAATGATCAATCGAATCACCCATCTGTTGGGTTCTCTTGGGAACGAGAAGAACGGGGGATTAACGTTATAACTTGATCGTTATCTTTTTGACTCTCAATCTTCCTGCGTCAGATCACATCTCGATNNNNTGTGTGTGTGTGTGTGTGTGTGTGTGTGTGTGTGTGTGTGTGTGTGTGTGTGTTGACCGGAAGCACATGATAGTATCATCAGGGTAGATTGGTTGAGTGTTGGGATAGACAGTCGTATGCACGGTCTGGGGTGATAAGGGCAGTGCTTAGATCAGATTGTAAGATAATATCCGTGCTCTCGTTCGTTTCCTGCAGGTGCTTTCTGCTCGTAAAACCAAAGCGGTTCTTTCATCCTCGATCACATGACTAACCATGTTTGCTTAACGGAACCAGTTAGGTCGATGAGTATAATAACTTTTTTTCATGTTTCCAATCTCCTCAAATCCCTGGTGTTCATTCGTTTCAGTTAATACCAGCAATGAAAAACCTAAATTCATTAGTTACAGTTTCCTTTGTCTCGTTTCCTTTATTTTGGAATCACAATTAAAATAGGCTAATTCCAAAGAGAGCCTTCCTAACCTGCATTATTTTGTCGTATCTCTTTGTGTGATGAACAGCAGAAGGGATAGATAGCCTTTGTGTTACGGTAATGTGACCAATACTCCAGGCCTCGGAACATCAAGCGAGCGATCGCATAGAGCAACACCGTGATAGACGCAGTAATACTGAGCGGATGACAGCGAAACTACCTAACGCTAAAGTTGGTTCGCATCGGCCGAATTCTAACTTCGGTACTCACGTTCCAGGTGAGGTAACACCAAATGAACTGATTTGACTTTGGTTTGTGCTTAATGATAGACATAACAGACTCGGGAAAACCGTATTACATGATCATTACCCGTGCTTTAAAGTGGCAAAACCTTAGGACTGACCGAGCGAAGCAGTAAATTATCAGGCCGTTAAAATACAAAGCAGATAGTACGCACTGAAAACAACTACACATTCAAATGATTATCTAGATATCCATTCACTCGATCATCATCTTACGTAGTTAATAAACCTCCTAGGAAGAAATTTCTGTCAGATTTATGGTTTAAATGGTATATTTATCAGCAAGACGCTCAGACGCTAACACTTTCATATAGATACGGATCAGCTTCACTGCTTCCTTCCTCCAAATGACGTTTCTTCTCTTCTACGGCAAAGCCGCTTAGGGTTCACAACCCAAACCACAATATGTGTGTCACTAGATCATGCTCCAAGAATTTGTCCATCCAGCCCCGCGGGGTTAGAAACCTCATCTTCCGATTGATTGTTCGTTAAACATTATCCAATTCACGCTTTCCAACCAAAATTGAGCGCATCTCTCGTTCAAAATTTGCAAGCAATCAAACAAGTTGTGTTCGATACTCGGCACAGAACAAAATTCTCCTCTGGTCTAAGAAAATAATGTCTTATCATTATTTAGTCCACTCGATCTCAGACAATTCTCCATAGTGTATCACCGCAAAAACTCAGGAAAGAGAGCGGGAGAACGGAACTCAGGTGGATTCTTCTCCAACAGATGAGCGTTACATGTACAATGTGTGTTCCCAAAAATGTACGGAAGTTTCGCAAACCGGATTGGCACATCATTGTCACAGTGAACTGTGGATCGCATAAATACCTCCCAATGGGCTCCTCAAACCACTCAGATGGAATCTCTTGCCTCCATATGTTCGACACACTTCAGCTCGTTGGCTTTCATTCATTGCAACCGAATGAATGACAACGTATTGTGTGTTTGTGTGTGTGTATGTCGATTTTCCTATGCACACATATATTCAACCATACATGAGTTTAGTTCATTTCACTCTGCAAACCATACATCTAACTGATGTCTGATGTCCGTGCGCTGGTTTCATTGGCCCTTTCTCTCATGCCTACCTAATCTCACACATAAGATACGGATCCCAATCTGTATGGGTCAAGCTGTACTTCGTGGATAAATTTGACTTTTCAGTTCACGCTTCATTTGCTATATACACGACGAATTGTCATTTGAAATTTAACCAAATCCTCCATTACCAACATGAAATAATCAGTCAGGTTGTGAATGTTTCCAACCGAGTCCTAAGCCCGGAGGCTAGTGCTGAGTTGAGCAGGGTCCGTGGCCCGCAACAAACTCTCAAAGATGGGTTGTGCTATATCGTGTAAATGGAAAGTGAAAAACGGTCTGATCAGCTGTCCGGTGGCGTGGTGGGTAGCACGCTTGCGTTCTGCCCATGAAGTCCCGGGTTCGATCCCCAGTCGGGTCGATGGATTCGCACTGCTGATGAGACCCAAACAGGTCGAAACAGCTGTCCAGTGCTTCCGAGCTTTTCAGTTCACGCTTCGTTTGTTATATACACGACGAATTGTCATTTGAAATTCAACCAAATCCTCCATTACCAACATGAAATTTGACTTTGTCTAAACTGAAATATCGTCACTGTCTGTCGAAACAAAGTGGCCTCGTTCACAAGCAAACGTAAACATTGCCGTGGAAGTGGTTTCGTCATCGCAGATGCAGATGATGATCATCGTGCAAACCATGATTTCCTTCCATTATTCATATCCGGCATAATACTTGGTTGCACTGTATCCAGACTTGAATCTATGTCTTGGACCTCATCTGTTTTCACTTCACTTCGTCTCACATCTATCTGTGAATCGGTTTCGCGTACACACACACACACACACACACCAAGCGACCCAATTAAACAACAAGAACTGCTTCGAAGCATTCCTCCGCTGGCAGGATATTGGAATTCTGCCTCGGAGTAGAAGGTACGGCTGTCGGGGGGGGGGGGGGNTGATTTCAATAGGAAATCGTTCATTTTGCAACACAGCCGGCGGTTCGAACTGTTTAGAATGGTTAGAACACGTGTACAGCATGCTTATGCACCCTTGTATACGCGAAAACTCGCTTCTCTAATATTAGTGACAGTTGCAGGAAATGGATAAATGCGTAATTGGCTTTTGTGCAAGAATGAATGTGACAGGATTATCCCGCATACCCTAGCCTCACCCCACCCCGTTCAAGCTTGTCTGCAGGAACCAGAACATCTGGCTGTGTTATGTTGATAAATCCAGGTGAAGATCACTATGCTTATTTAAAGTATAAATATATATATATATGTGGAGATCGGAAAAGTTTCACCATTTGTTTTCTTTCGATTCCTTACCCCGAAGAGCGTCCCGATAGGCGTGTGCCGAGTGTCACATGACACAAAAGATCGCGGTCGTGACTGAATGCAAAGCAACCAGTAGGTGGGAATTAGGAGCAGGAAATATTGAAATTCATTGCGGTACCCAGTAAACCATAGATTCCATTATATTGTAACACTGAAAACGAGGGTATCAAGATTGTGTAACCCGAACGTGCTACTGTATTTGATCGTGATGAGTTTCGTGCGCAACTCCTTATGTTGTTGTTGTTTTGTGATAGTGGTGGTGGTGGTAGTCGATCGTCCCCCGAGCTCACCAGGTCGCTCCAACACTGTTCTGTCGACAGTAACACCAGTCTTGGAAAGTTTGACGGATGAAAATTTCTCACTGCATCATTGAGCCCGTACTGGCCTTCGTCTGCTTCTCTCCATGAAATCCAAATTGAACATGAAATTTAGTCACTGTTTTAAAGTGTTCCGCAACGCAAGTAAGGAAGCGTGGTTGGACATTTTCGTTACCTTGGTCCATTGACTGAAATAACTCCAAACATTATAGTCTGTGCTCACTGTACCCTTCTCATTTCATTTCCAGAAACTTGATCCCACTGCGGTCTTTTTTCTGCCTATCATTTTGTTCAATACACCACAAATTTTCCGTTGTTTTTTCTTTCTCTCTTTCTCTGCGGAATGTAGTGGCGGTTATTCAAAGAATGTCGTGAATTGGGTTTGATTAAATTGTTGTTGTTGTTCAAACACACGCGCCACGAGTTATTTACTGCCCTCTCACTCTATACCTCGCGATCCGCCTTCTCGCGCTCAAACCGCATAATCCTTACTATATGAAAATAATTCTGGGAAATTGTCTAAGCCGGACGATAATTAACGGTAGTAGGGTACAAACGCAACCTACCTTGCACCGACCGAATTCGATTGTGGCGTATGACGTTTGATCCACATCGTTTAGAGTTGCCTGTTTCACTAAGCATTACGCGCTTTCCTCTTCGTATTGTTGAATGCACATTCAACAGTATCGTGCTAACTCTCTCACACACACACACACGGGTACTGCTTTGTGATACAGAAAAATACTAAGAGAACAGCGATCCTGTGAATCGATTCAGTTTGTCTCCTTGACTAGCACAACTACTCGAATGAAGCTGTTCTCATTTACCTCCCCCCCCCCCTCTTGTGGGCGGACGGAGATCAAAGAAACTTCTGTAATTGGGGTTCCGGATTATCCCTCGCGATACTCGCTATCGCAGTGAGTTCACCGGGTTTTCATTTCGTCGTTCTTTCTCTCTCTCTGTCAAATTTCTGTCTTCTCTCTTAAACCCATCAAACCGTTTTCTTATCATTTCGTTTACGCCCAAACCTATCATACATTGATTAGAACTGTATTCCTAATACTAGTGAATGAATTGAGATTCATTGTGTGTCATAGTCTGGACAGATTGGCACATGATGTATTTGAAATTATCTCCATTATATCCCAAAAACCAACAAGACCTCATTCCGCATCTGTGTTTCATTCAAAGTACACCAGAAAATCGATTTGGGCGAGAAGGATCTGATGGGAATGGGGATAAATGAGAACCATACTCCTTACAGTTTCATTCACTGCTGACGGTTGTGCAGATGATGCTACCCGTTTCTCCACTCCTTCCTATCTCTGTTTGATTCAGGTCACCAGACTGCACGATGCGAGCTCGTTCAACTAAGGGGCACACGAGGCTATTCGACTTTTACCCGAACAGGCAGATTATAGATTTCGGTGGCCGATACACTGTTATGATATCGCTCATCCCAACCGGCTTTTGTGTGTCTTGATTGAAAGGTTTGGCTTTGTTGGTGGTGGTGACGAGATACCGGCTGTCATCTGGAATTTGTTTCTAATTACTGTCCATCTGTTTCAACGTTTATTCTTCAATGCTTCAGAAGAAATCAACTACTTTTTCGTCTCTTTCTCTATCACCACTCCCCTCCCAACCCCGAGGCAAGCTCTATCTCATTCGTCCTTTTTTTCCGACGACGAACGCTTTTTCATGCTATTTTATAAGCAGATTCTGTTTCGCGCTTCTTGTCCTCATCCGAAAGCACAAATTCCGTGCTCCTGTGTCCGGAGTATAACTATTGTGATTGTTCATAGTCTTCTCAGTAGGCTTGACGAAAACAAACGGC